GAAGCGTCCTTGCTCCTAGTAGTACGGCCAGGAGCCCCTAGTAGCTTTTGTTGTCGTTTTTGTCTGTTTTTGAGGCGATTCTGTGCGCCATAGCAATTGCGGCATGCGTGCACGGCCCTTGGCAGAGATCAGAAGACCATTGTTGGTGTATATATAGTGTGGTTCAAGCCTCTAACTGTTGCAAGTTTAGCCCACATTTAAGGCAGCCTTGCTCCACCAAAGGATGTGGAGCACAATCATGTGATGCTGACGGGCACTGTGAGGCTGCGGGTTTGAGCATGGCCCGTTCCGTGAACTGTTTCCACTTTAGGCGCAATAGCACATAGCAGCTAGCAGCAAACTTTCGAGCCAGACGCCGTTGAATCCACAAATGGCATCTGTAGACCAAGCGGAATTGCCTTCTCAAAGCCAAGCTGCTAAGCCCTGTAAGTTGAGACAGTTCAAGCTGTCGGTTTCAACTCTGTGCCGCGTCAAATTGAATAAGACCTGCCTCCATTCACGGCAGGACCGAGCTTGCAAAGTGGTCGAGGTCAGCAGAAACTCGAATGCAACTGGAGTGGACGCGAGTGGCTGTGGACCATCCATATATTTTCCAAGGTTTAATGAAGCCAGCTGCACGGGGCAATATCATTTCTTGTCAGGGCTGAAAGTGCCAGACTCAGCAATTGCTACCTGCCCGGGTCACAGCAACAGAATCAGCCTTCCCTGCAGAAAAGCAGGGGAGACCCATAAGATCTAGAACTACTGCGACATTGTGACCTACCTGACATTTTGCAGGCTCAATCATTTCGCTGATGTTCGGAGATGGCTGAGAGATGAAGAGCGCTGGAATGAATGGCAGAATTTAGATGCACCTTTGCAGCACTGACATTTTCGACTGTCGTAAACCTTTGCTTTGCAGATGTGCTTGACGCAAGTCCCGCTCGTCCATCCTTGCCATCCCTTGTTCCATGATATTAAGATGGAATTGCGAGTGATCAAAAATGAAACCAGAATTGTATGATTGTTCTTATTGTGTTTCAATGTATGTATTTGATCTTTCATTTCTGTCCCTGACAGCAAAATCGGAATGCCAAGACCGGGCCTTTGGGGGTGCGGGCTGCCAACCACTTGTGTGGCATGGAGCCAGGTGCAATGGGTGCAGGGGCACAATCCTGACCTCATTGTGCTAGATGACAGTGGCCACGAAAAGGACCGAAAACAGAAAGAGTTCCAAAAGCATCAATAGACATTCTTGAATTTGCAAGAGGTGGTTTATGGTTACAAGTTCTTTCCTTGCAGGACAGGATTGACCTCACACACTATAGCCGCTTTCCTGCAAGCCTTGTGCGGTTGTACTAGGTCATTCCGCACAGTTGCTTTTCTCTCCCTGCGGCCCAGGCTACAATCAGCTGCCAGAAATGTTGCGCAGCAAAGGCTTTCGACTGAAGGGGGAGGACTGGTAAGTAAGGTTTCCATGCAATTAAATTCGGTGAGACGGCTTAAGCGCATCGAGCTGGACCCAACTGGGGATAGGCTAAACTTATCTAAACTTCACGTCGGGCAACAAGCCCAACAAAACTGAAAGGTTTTATCCATCAGACAAAGATAGAAAAGCTATGAAAAGCAGCCTAGGCGGCCCAGGGGCCGGCAGCGTTTCACATTGAGCCGGTAATGCTTGGTCTTTGCATCGTGAGAGCTTGATCTGCTCCGCTGTTGCGAGTTAAGCTGCTTGAGTGGAGGAACAGCTTGTGACGCTGGTGCCAAAGTCATTTCATAAATCTGTTCTGAAATCCTCACATCCCATCATCCACCAGGCTGGTTTGCGGCCTGGTGCTGCTTTTAAGCACGTGTGAAATGACTTGCGCAGTACCAGTTGAGATGCTGCTTTCCTGCCGTCCAAGTGGGGCAGCACTTGCAGACGGAGCAGCTATAGTGAGCTATAGCTTTTGTCAAATGCATTTCGTAGCTCACTGACTTCCATAGTGTTACTCACTGTCACAGACTTCCCCAGCAATAAAACTTCTCCCTGAGTGCTGCGTGATGGGCTCGCAAAGACTGATCGTCTCAAGCGTTTGGGACCAAAGACCGCCAGACTGTGTAACCGGGCTACGCTGAGCTGAATCGATGCAAGCCACGAACGGTCCATGTCAGGTGGCAACTTGGCTTCGGCAGCAGGAAGTTACAGGACAAGTGCTTCGAAGTTTGGATGAGGTGCAGAGAGGAAAGTAGGTCATGTAAACGGATGTCGGCATGTTGTGAACAAGGCTGCAAGAAATTGCGACGCACAATTTAGCATATAGCATGAATATAGCCGTTATTAGGTTGGAGGCGTTGAAGGCCACGCTAGTAGGTTGGAGGCTATCACTTTTGGGTTGGAGGCAATTGCAATTGCTATTATATAGGTTGGAGGCCATTGCTTTTAGGTTGGAGGCTATCGCTATTAGGTTGGATCTTTTTAGGTTGGAGGCCATCGCATTTTAGGTTGGAGACCATTGCTAGTACTGTAGATTGATGTTGATATGGAGTTTCAAAAACGTGGGGGCTTTGCAGGCTGAGCTGGAATTGATGGGGCTTGAGCCCTTTGGCCGGCGGAGGCAGCTCTTGCTGTGCCGCCGCTTGGCCATGTTTAGAGTGATGTCCAAGGTCCAAGGCGTTGCTGTTGCGCCTTTACCGCAACTCTTGGCTTTGGCAGCTTTTCCTAGAAACATTCGCCAGGTGAGGAGATTCTGGATGGAGCCTCAGAATGATAAGGTTGTTTTGCAAGAAGATGTGGGGGGAACAAACAAGAGTTAGACAACACGACGACAGAAGGAGCGCAAGCAACTTGAGATTGCTTCCCGTGAGGCAGAAGAAGCAGCAAAAGAAAAGAAAGCAGAAACAAAGGCGGAAAGCCCCAGGACCTGAGCTCTTCTTGGAATTTGGAATTGTTTTGGGATGTTTTGGGAGTTTTTTTCTCTCTCTCTCTCTCTCTCTCTCTAGTCGTGTGATGTCTTTTGTAGAGTCAACGTGTCCCAGACCCTCCGCAGCCGTCGTGAAGGCTTTCTATCTTGATTTAATGTTCGCAACACAAACCGAACACACAAATTGAACTTAGGCCGTTTTTGCCCCTCCATTCGATCTGCCTCTGAGTGGACAATAGGCGGTTGGATGTTCTTTGTCCCACACAACTCTGGTTACCGATGATGCTGAAACGCTGGGGTCGTCAAAGTGGTTTGAGCATTTCAATGGAAGGTTTTCTGAGGAGCATTTTCTCATTTTGTGTTTCACTTTTTGTATTCTATGCGCTTGCGAACGCGCAGCGCTTGGACGGCATTGCGATGGCTCACCACGCGGCCTTCGGCACAATGGCTGCGGCAGCGGCGACAACACTTGCACGAGGTGCCGTGCTGTGTGGGTCGGGTGCAAGTGCCTGCGAGAGTGCACGCAAGTGATGTTGCGTGTGAGCGGATGTGTGTGTGTGTGTAACACCCTTGGAATCAAAGGGAACCTTAAGGTTTGGAACAGGGGGACGGGACACCTCTGGCATTTCCCGTCCAACGAAGAGGATGCCAGCAGGTGCTGATGCAGTGGGGGACGCCCCACTGTGTACCTGTTCCACTATTTAGGAAAACAGGAGGAAATGGTACTCGACACACTTGTGTGTCGGTGCCTTTCCTTCTGTTTTCCTCTAGGCTTTTCTACAGGTTTGTAAGGGGTTCTTTAAACCTGAACTTTGGCCTCCACCCACTAGATTGACCCCCAACTTGCTGTTTTGCTGTTTTGTGCTTCTTGTGCTTTTGTGCTTCTTGTAACCTTGTAGCACTGGCCTCCAGCTTGGTACCCTGGCCTCTACCCTACCCACTAGCAAGGACCTCCAACTTTGACTGTCTTGTGGTTTTTCTTGTGCTTTCTAACCTGGTAGCGCTGGCCTCCAACTTGGTACCCTGGCCTCCAACCTACTAGCGATGACCTCCAACTTTGCTTTTGCTGTCGCTTTGTATCTATGGTCCACCGCCTACTAGCGATGGCCTCCAACCTTAGGTCTTGGCCCCCAACAGCCTCGCGTTGACCTCCAACCCAAAACCGTTGGCCTTTAACCTACTATTTCCGACACCTCAGGCCCTATGGCTGGCGTGTGGCACCGCTATCAAGTCAGTACTCATATCCATAGGTGTGTTTGGCCTCGTGCCAACCCGGGATGAGCCCGCAGAGTGCCTCCCGTGGACCCGTCGAACGGGGGTTTGTCGTTGTTTCCCTTGCTTTGGAAACGTAAGTGCCCACAGCGGGCGAAGCTGGCTCATGCCACAAGAATTTGGATTTTTGTCCCATCTTTGGAATTCCAAGCTGGCTTATGCCTTCACGTGACCGCAGCGGTCAGAGGTGGCCGCCCTCGGGCATGCCGTACGTGGTCGCAGCGACCGAAGTTTGTTCAAGGTTCATTGGAACCTGTGGAGAACTTAGCCCCCTTCTCCCCCTTCCCTCCCCCTTTCTCTCTTTAATACTCAGGATCACCCCTTTCTTTCTTTGGTGTGTCCCTGGACGATTGTTCGTAGCTGGGAACACCTTCCTTTCTCTCCTCTCCCTTTCTCTCCCTCTCTCTTTCTTTCCTTCTCTTTTTCCTCTCTTCACCCTCTTCCTTGGGCGTCCCTGGATGCTTTCGTCATAGCTGGGAGCCCTTCCTTTTTGGTGTGTCCTTGGACGCTTGTGCCGTAGCTGGGAACACCTTTGCTTCCTTCTCTCCCTCCTTCTCTTTTCCTCCTCCCCTCCCCCCTCTTTCCTCGCGCGTGGCGTATTTACAAGCAAACTAGGCTTCTGCAACAGGTTTCTCAATGAGGTTTGGACTGTCCCCTTTCATTTGGTTCCCCTTTCATCCGGCCCCACAGACGTCTTCCCTTCTTTTTCTTTCATGTCCTTCTGTCTTCATGTCTCTTCATCCTCATCCTTTCTTTCTCTTGCGCGCACTATCGTCCGGACCTTAGTTTGTACACATACACGCACGCGTACTCTACTTACAGCGAGGTTCAGGTGGCCCAGGTTCGTTACAATGCGGTTTGGCTCATCGGTTGTCCCTCTTCACTTGGTTCCTTTTCACCGGCAACCACACACACCTTTGTCTGTCTCGTCCTTTTCATTTTCATCTGTCCTTTTTGCGTGCACATGTGCACACCTCCTTTCCGGGCAGGATGGAGGTCACACATGCCTCCCTTCGGGGAGGCGTGTGTGTGTAACCCTTGGAATCAAAGGAAACCTTAAGGTTTGGAACAGGGGGACGGGACACCTCTGGCATTTCCCGTCCAACGAAGAGGATGCCAGCAGGTGCTGATGGAGTGGGGGACGCCCCACTGTGTACCTGTTCCACTATTTAGGAAAACTGGAGGAAATGGTACTTGACACACTTGTGTGTCGTGTGTCGGTGCCTTTCCATCTGTTTTCCCCTAGGCTTTTCTACAGGTTTGCAGGTAGGCCTCCAAACTTTGTAAGGGGTTCTGCGAAAAAGGGTAGCAGCGGCACCCGAAGTCCGCAAACACGAAAACAAGAGGGCGCACTGAAGCGCCGCGGCCGCGCCTTTTGCAAGGCAACTGCCCTCCCAGTCTTGAGAGGGAACGACGGTAAGTGAAGGTCGAAAACAGTTCGAACTACCGAAACACAAGTGCACAGCGTGAACTTTACATGGGGGAGAGTCCTTCGTCATCACCCCAGTTCCGCTGTTCGAACCGGTCCAGCCATTGGTAGACCAAGGTCCGCACAGATGAGCCTGACCGATCATCGACAAGGTCAGGTGGAATCACCCTCAAACTACAAAGGCGGCAGAAATCTACTCGCCGCTGCAGGCTTTCATCTCTTCCGGCCAGGCTTGAACAGTTCAAGGTCGTGTGCCATCTGGCGCCATGCCGGCTGATGATCATGCCATTGTAGAAGGGGCATTCATTTCCATGCTCATCCATCTGCCTCAGGGCGATCTTCAGGATCTGGGAGGCTTCCTGTGCAAGGGTCTCAGCAGCATTCTGGTTTCTCAGAACCAGATTCATCGCTGTCGTGGCTTCGACAGCAGCAAGGCGGGACTCCTCGGCTTTGGAACTCCAGCGCAGGACTTCCTGCTTCAGGCGTTTGACTTCTTCTCTAAGGTGAGGTGGGATGATCACTTCATCCTTTTGGACTGCAGCCTCAGTGACCTGGGGTGGTACTCGGTGGTGTGCATCATGGCTCCATCGACCAACCATGAAGGCTGTGCTCAAAAAAAGTAGAAGGAGGGTGCACAAAACAGTTCCAAACCAATCCATTCCAGCTTCAGGTTCCACATTGGCCGAATCGGCCGTGACCAGCTGCGGGGCCATGAACAAAAGCAAAAACCAAAACATGAAATTCGTCTTACGACCGCGGTAGGACTCGAGCGGGCGGCTTCCGACATGGCTCGGACTGTCGGAGACATACTCAAGCTTCCGGTCGGTCCTGGCAAACATGACATTCACAGGAACCTTGGAATTCCGAAAAATCTCTTCATTCCAAAACACCTGCTCATCGACATTCACGTCATTCTCCGCAGGATTCTCGTCGATGGGCTGCTGGTGCTCCTCGTGGAGGTTGGGTTCCTCATTGATCACATGTGGTGGTACCACATGGATGCTTTCGGGTTCCTCATTGATCACATGTGGTGGTACCACATGGATGCTTTCAGGTTCCTCATTGATCACATGTGGTGGTACCACATGGATGCTTTCAGCAAGACTCTGTTGGAGCTCAGCTTTTGTCTTCTTCTTGGCAGCTTTGTATGAGGGGTCCCAAACAAGCTTCAAACGACCGTGACGTAGCCGTTGTGCAAGAAGTGCTCTGGCCGACTCTTTTGTCAAACCGTCAGCCAGTTGGCGCTCCGATGACATCCACCTCAAAGAACCGCCCAGTGAAGACAGGCGATCCTTCATCACACGGATCTCAAGCGAAACTCGCTTGTCAACCACAGAGCTTCCGACTCCTTCTCGGTGATAGGAGTCGTAAAGGGCTTTGGCGTCCGTGATCATGGTGGGCGACAACAAGGATGTAGCGTCCAAGAGCTCTTGGAGTCGCTGGCGAGGGTCAACCAACAAGCTCCAGTAGATGCTGGCATGCTCCAAGGCATCGCAAGCTTGACCACCGCTTTGTGCTTCGGCGCCCAAGGAAGAGCGTGCAACTCTTGGCGTTTTCAAACTGCGCCAATCTAACACGTGGTAGGCTCCTTCGGGACCATTGGCCTGAAGCAAAGCTTTGTTGACCATCAGGATCACATAGCCAGCTTGTGAGGCTCCGTCACTGCGGGTGGCAAAGGCAGCATCAAAAAAACATACCAAACAAAGTTCTGAAACTTCGCCCAGGTGGCTGTACTGTAGGCCAACATCAGCATTTTCTTTTGCAAAACGCAGCAGGCGATTTGCGTCGGCCACTGTCTGAAGCGTGGCCTTGGTGACATGACCGCTCAGGATCGAGGTGCTGCTCTGCAAGTGAGGACTGCTTTGAACTGCGGGCCATTGAAGTGAACCAAGAAGTCCTCTCAGCTGTGTCAACTCACGCTGATTGAGCGCATCGGTGAGGCTGCGCTTCTTGTCGTAGGTGATCGGTTTCACCTTTCCCATGTAGCTGGTCTGGTTGAGGAGGAGACCATCATCCTTGACCTGAATGTCACAACCACAATAGGTCAAGGGCTTTCCATCATCACCAGTTTTCCATTCACGGAAGTTGAAGGTGCTCTTCAGCTTGGTGATGGTGTCGTTGTAGCACTGGGAGGATGGCGAACCGCAACCAAGCATGTCATCGACGTGCATGATGACCATACCACATAGGCCATGAGGTCCAAGCAGGTTGGAGTGCTCAGCTGTGGTGTCATACTCAGGGTTGAGGTCACCTTCATAGATCAAGAAGCAGCAAGGGTCTTGAGGATGCTGTCGGA